CCTGACCAAACAAATGTCCTGATCTTGCTTCATGCTGTATGCAACAGAAGAGTACGAAATGATATTTTCTTCAATATACGGGGCAACTTTTTCGAATGTCATCTCTCATATTCTAGTATGTCAAGCTGATTTAAAATTTGAAATTTAATAAATCATAATAAGTTTATGCAAATCACACAGGCATTCCAATCTTATGATGTCTGTATGTTGGACGGACCGCACAAACACAGTGTTGGCGGATGAGTTTAGGAAAGCGAATTTAGACATCAAATGCAATATTTTGAAATGTCAAGCCACGGACCGGTTCGGCAAATTTGATATACACCACAACAATGTTTCATTTGTGCTGAGTGTACCAAGAGTTATTGCTACTGCGCTCATCGATTGTAACATAACAATCGATTGTAACATAACAATACATAAACTAAAGCAACCAGGTTATCAGCATGGTCGGCTGATGAAGATATGACATCCAAAACATTCTTGTCAATTAACATGCTGCAAATAGGATGAATATCTCCTTGTACAGTACTGATGTCTTGAGACTATTATGCCAGGCCGCTGAGACAAGGACATTATACCTTGGTGAATAATTGTCACATCATGAAGACAAATCTTTATATATTAGTTGCAGTTAATCCCTGCAACAGAGACAGTCAAGTTTCCGGCATAGGAGGAGGTGTGATTGCAATTGATGGGTACATTATTGACATGCATGGTGTTCTGTGATTGGTCAAAACATATATGTATGTCCCACATGTGTAACACAGACTGAATGTGATTGCATATGATCGTACATGGTTATGACAGTTGTACAGAAAGAGATACGAGTAGAATAATGATACACTGAATAATTTAGAATATACTTTACCTCGTAACCCTTTGCTATAAGGAATTCAGCAAGATATGAGCCATCCTGGAATGAAAAGATAAACAATTATTATATAATCTGGATATTTAATTTTTAACATTAAAAAACAAATTTGCATGAAAGCTTACAGTAGAAGAAACTATTCATGAAGCTTTCCATTATCCTATTGCCTATCTACTAGTATATGTGTATTTGTTTAGATTCAGGTCGGATTCAAGATGACCCCCTCCCCCTCATTTATAGTAAATATCAGTGAATTAATCACAGGGCCCCCATTCTGCGAGTGACGAGTCCATGTGTATTTAGTCAAACAACTCAGTGACATAGCCCAATTTACATGGTTTCGGTGAAGCCGAAAGTCTAGGTCTGTTGCACAATGATAAGCTATAATCAATTGTACGCCCAACATGTAAGGTATGCAGGGCGGGGAGGGGTTATCAACTGGTATCTAGTGTGTAAAAATAGACAAGGATTGAATGCTCCGGACAAAAAGAAAGTCAAATTTATAAACAAAAAAATAACAGCTTGGAGAATATTAGTTGCTCTTACAATTTCACCAACACTTTTACTTTACCAATGTCAGTAGAATTAATCTTGAAATGTAAACAAACTATGAAGTCTGAGTGGTGTGTATGGATTTACCTGCATGGTTGGAGGAGTGGCCTATTTATAATCGGTCACGCACTATAAATCACGAGACTGGGTACGAACCTATCAGTTAATTATTACATTTTTTTCTGAGTGGGGGTAAAGTACATTTTTAATTAATATGAAAGCTGTGGTTGAACAGATGATATTTTGGATTTTTTTTTTTAATTCTGGCGAAGTACGACACAACTGTATAACGCTGTGTTTGTCGTGATAACTATTAATGAACAATGTCCTTATAGTTGGGGGGGGGGGGTCGCCTGTCCGCATGAAACTAACTCTTGACATGCAGCCTATGTAATCTCTAAGACAGACCGGAAACGGAAACGATACAAAAACAAAAGATTTTTCAAGTTAGCGTGGGGGAAATAACGTTGCTAAGTATTATCGTCAGGGAAAGATATTGTTTAAGCTAGTCTGTGATTGGTTGCTGGCAATGTTTGGGGGATTTTGACCAGTTTGTGACGTAGGCTTGTCTACTTGCTAGTACATCCATGATGTAAAGTACTATACAGAAGCCAACGACACAAGTGAATAATCCCTTTTCTACTTACGTCCTGCAAAATATAATCTGAAAGGCCTTACCTGTCCTGTAATACCCGTGATAAGTGCCACTTTTCTGTCTCTCCAAGCATCGTCGCCTCCATTCGACTTTATCGTTTCTGCAATTCCCTGAAAAGCAGCCATAATGTCATGGTATCATATTTAGAGCCATCTTACATGGATCTGTCTGATTGGTTGAGTCAAAGGTGAAAGGTTACACAGAGCAGAAATCCGGTAGAATTTTTGTGAGTTAATTTTAATGTTTTGAAACGGTTGTTGAATATATTTTGAAGTCATCATAAGACAAAAGTAAAATGTTATAGCTATCAGACCAATATTTTCTCATGAACCCGCGAACGCGTTCGGGCATGGCAACCGCATATAATTTGCATACATAATTACTAGTAGCGTGGGTTGTCCTCTGACATGTCTGAGCAGGCACGAACATGCTGCTATTTTTAGACGGTTGGAAGCTACGTCACGAAATCCTTTGTATTTTAATGAGAAAATTACAGCTGTAACCAATCAGAACGTCCCATTGCCGGCTCATATCGGCTAGCCGCATAATGAGCAAAACAAGTTCATTCATAGTCCCGCTAAGAGAAACATGAACGGAGGATATGTCCCGGTGTTTTTTACTATCGGGCACCGGGACACTGAAACATATTTATTTGAACATGGACGATTGTGCTATCGTAAGTTTTCTCGAGCCGATAGGTTTAATGCAATATTTGGAGACTTTCCAGACCAAGGGTTATGACAGGGAATCGGACTTCTGTCGCTTGACCGATACGTCCCTGGATGATTTGGAAATTACGGACATTGACCACCGAAATGCATTACTACACGGAGGTAAGACACGATTTCATACGTAACACATTTAGCTGGAAGATATACAATATATTTGCATGTGTCGGTGAAAAGTTGTTTTGTCGCGAGTACGAGTATTACCGTAGTTTCATAGCGAAAACCGTAAATTACCGTTCAGTCATCTCTAGCCGGGGAATCCCCGATACACAAACAAAGTGTGCCCAATGCATCTGTCCTTGAATTCCATCTTGTTATTGAAAACAGCGACAATGACCTACCAGGACATCTCAATAATCCCGGGAATTTTAAATCGCATAAAACCGTGTTCATAAACATTAGATTTTTCCTTGTTATCGTTAAAATCATATTGCGGCGTGCATTGTTGATATGTGCCAACGTCAACTTATCTCCACGTATCGCACCATGACCCACGCCCATTTGAACCAGTCACCCTGTGGATAATTAATGTGATTTTACTTCATTTCCTTGCATTTTCGATGGCTGAGTTTAGTTTTTATTATTTGTATGTGTTTACACCCACGTTGTGATTCAGTGGTGCACAAATAGTGTCAATTTATTTTGTTTAAATAGGAAAGGTGGCGAAATAAAATAAGCAACAACAACATTTGTTATCATAAAACAAAGTACTTTTTTTTTCACACACACTGACCGTTCGGATTTATCCCCTACTTACGTTACGAAACTTGGGCAGTTCCAGTCTATTTTGGTTCGGTGCTTTTGAGTGACCTATACCTACGTCGATGACTAACGGGACATACCCCGATCATTTATGTGTTTTCAGTAGGGGCTGAATCACAGACCCTCTATCGGGGACTGTGATTCAACACACTCAGATGCACTCTCAGGTCGCGTAATCAAATGAAAAGTTTTCTATAAAATCTAAAATTGGTGTCTGCCCTGGGCGGTTAACTTGTTTCATATCTATCGCACATCGCGAGTACTGTGACCCCAAGATCAATGCCATAGAGCACTTTCCCCCTATACAATCTTGTGCGAATTCTTTTGGGAATTCCGTCGGACGCTATAAATAAAGCTGACAAAATCTATTGACAAACATGTTAATCTATTTTAAAACAAAAACAACATAATTGTTCAACCAAGACGAAGCTGGAGGTAGCAGGCGATGCTGGTCTAACAATTACCCCGATGGTGTAACATCGGGTCTTCCCTGAAATCATTTTAACACTATTTTTTGGGGTTTCAGCCGAGCAGTATGTGCAGTCAGACCAGTACAAAGTTTACCAATTTTTAAAAGACAACGACTTGGAGTATTATTACAAACATTTTATTAGCAGTGAGTACACGACAATTGAAAGCTTATCCAGGATTGATGTCAACAGAGAAACGTTGGACGACTTAGAAATCACTTTACCTGGTCACAAAAGGCGTTTGGAAAATGCCAGTAGGTTTTATATTTATTGTTTTCAAAATTGTTTTTATTCATACGCCATATACGCGAATCTCGGTTTTGACTTGTCTTTACATGTATCACCAATTTACATCCGTTATATGCAAATTTATTGAAAAAAAAAACAATATTTGTAAACGAAATTTATAGCTCCGAAATCAGGCACACAGTAAATATTAAACAATGTCTTTTTTTCAGTAACAAGCCTCAGGAAACGAAAAAAGCGAAATCAAG